CAAATCTGCTCATTTTTAAATGCGTGCACGGCGGAATTATTTATATTTGACGTTTAACTGTCACATAAACAATCTGAAAACACTGAACTTGACAGGCCAATCAGGATCAAGAGTCAAGTTTGGTGTTATCGATAATCCGAACTTGACTAGAACTCATGATTGGTTCATTTGAGCTGTTTTTTAGCCACCACATTGGTTTAAAATATTTTTTAAACCATATTTAAAGTGACGTCATGAATTAATAGATGGCAAAAATAGGGTGTTTTAAAAAAATTACCTGCTAACTGTCATATGACAAAATTTTAAATATTCTGATTTCGATGTATTATTTTTTGATGGATTACTGGTTGAAATAAGTTCTAGACAGGAGAAGCGAAGTCGATTTAAAAAATGAATTAAATTTTTTTTTAATGATTGTTTAAACAGATGAAGAAAGGAAGGAAGATTGGAGTGTTTTTAATACATTGCAATCTGAAACGTTGTTTACTGTTTTATTTTTGGTATTTTTCTTGTCAATAAACATGGCATCCGTAGCTCCAACAGATACGCGATTGTCTAGCGATTATTTGCTGTAGATTTTTTGGGCTTTTCCAAAGTTCATCAACTGCCAAATAACGTTTAATTGCTTTTAAATATTTGCTGGCAAATTCAGAATCTGAAGCAAACTACGTAATTATTTTTGCAAAAAACGTACAACTGATAAGTAATCCTTTAATCTTATTTCAATTGCATTATTGTTTCATAATCAAAAGTAATCTATAGGTAGATCACATCGTCCAACTGTTTATGATGACCATAAATATTAATATTTGTATTATAACATTATAACCAATTAATGTATGAATATGAATCACATAATATATGTATGAAGTTATCAAATATCAATAAAAATCAACAAAACGTCAAAAATATCAAAATGTTCAAAGATGGAACAGAGCAAAACAACATACAACAGCGAAAATCAGAATCTCTTATGTGTCAACCGTTATTGAACCATATGCCTCCGACTGGTTTAAAAATTCTAGCTTTGGTTTAAAATATTTCGTATGTGACGTCATAGTTGCATCGCTAAAATTCAAACGGTTTAAAACGTTCGAAAATATTTCAAACCAAACACTCGCTAAAAAATACCTTTGATAAGTACGTGAAATAGTCGTGTAAATTTTTAAGTTTTAATCCCTCGAGTGATTGTTCATTTTCGGGATTAAAAGTGGCACATCAGTCCCTTGGTACATAATATACTATTTATACCTAACAAAATACTTATTATTTATTATTCGAAATTCGAAGTAATAGTTATGACGTAGCGATGTTCTTATTGTAATCGGATTCTACAATAATCTATTGATTGATAGAATAATTCAATATATTTTTTCAGTTTTATAAGTAGTGAATTGATAATTTATAATTATAATTAATAAAAAGTATATCTTATTTACACTAATAAAAAATGCTTTATAAAATTTTACGAATATTCAACTATTTTATATATTAAAAAAAAAAAAATAGTTAGATTTGCTTTTTACACAATTTTCATAAAATTTTCTAATGTGATGTTATTTTATTCATGTTTTTAAACAACAATCTTAAAAAATTGTTTTTGACACAAATGCAGTTTTAAATTATTTTCTACAAATTTTAAACATATTCTTTTATGCCAATCGCTTCATCCCAATTTTCACATAAATACATTTTTTTTACTACTAACATGAGAAATCACCATTATTTACTCCATTCCTCTAATGAGAAGTAATATTTCTCTCCCTAGGTAAATAATGATAATAAAAAAAACCTAGGTAAATAATGAACTAAATTTCATTAGTTTCATTTTGTTAATTTGACAACTAAACTCCCAGACTACTTGATATTTTGAAATATTTGAAAAATAAGTAGGAAATAACTAAAGCTGGGTTTATTAAAATCTAATCAAATCAAATATGATAATATATATCAGTGTTAATAGTAAAAATATATATTAACTAGGAAATTCAACACCGGCTTTAAAAATTATTAATTAATAACAATAAATCCATGTCATTAAAATATCAAAAATGCAATGGGATATTTCCTAGAATCATACCAAAATTTGACACATGCCAAATTTTTACATAAATAAAGCCAGTCTGATTAGAAACACGCTCCAGTCTGCTTGATATTTCGAAATATTTAACAAATTGTTAGGAAATTACTTATGTCAAAATTAAAATTGCTAATACATTAATGTTAGTAGTAAAAAAAATTCTATATATACCTCGGCTGAGAAAGCTATTATTTACCTCGCACATTATATCCCTCGGCGCTACGCGCCTCAGGATATAAAAGTGCTCGGTAAATAATAGCTCACTTCTCACCCTAGGTATATAATGTACTATTTTAAACAATAACTGATGATGCAAATATGTAGATGCAAGGATGCTGTTACTTCAAAACCGATATTATAATACTCTCTCAAGACAAGAATACATATTTTAAGTAAAAAGGACTAAAATTTAATATTTTTGATGCGCTTCTGAATAAAATTGAAAACTTTAAATATGTTTGGATTGGGCATAAAAAACTTACAATCTCCTCAAAATTTTACTTTCTCATCACTTATTTCGAAAATAATAAGGAAAAACTCCCTTCAACGTTTCAACTTTAAGACTCTGCATAGTCGAAACAATGCATTTTCTGGCCTCCATTATTAAGAGTTTTTAAAATTATTTTACAACTTGTACATCTCACGCCACCAATGGTCTTTCTTATTATTTACTTATTTCATATATTAGTGACTTATACGTCATAATTGGTGACCTATCTATAGTAGTAAATACCATTTGACTAATTTATTGTAATTTAAACATTTGGTTTTGATAAAAAACAAACTATGATTAATTTATAATGAAATGTCAGTTGACCTTGAACCCGCGGTCTGCCATATTTTTAATCCATAGAGGATTAATTTTTTTGTTTTATTCCCTTGTTATTAAATGTGTTACTTCAATCCCTAACATTAGTTATTAAAATTATGCTTTTAGTCTACACTATAGTGTAGGTAATTCAATTTTTAAATGCATTCAACTGTAACAAGGTTGATTAAATAAACAGAGCAAAAGAAACTACATACAAAAGTTTTAATGAATAATAAAGTAAATGCTCTTGTACCTAAAAATAAAGCATGTAAACTTTTAATTAACTCTTTTAAATAAACGCCTCGTTCAAATAAAAATGTTCTATTAACTTAACTCGGGGGTTTATGCCAATAAGTTTGATGTACAGTTGACGAAACCGAATTGTGAACGCCAAAATTTCATGGTGTGATTTGGACTTTGCAGCATAGTCGTTCGTCGCATTCATATTCGACAGCTCTTAACAATTATTGTCAAATTAAGGACCAAGCACCGTTAAATGTTGTAGAACTCGATGCTCTGATAAAAAAAAGTCCATTTGGCCAAATCGATTCTATGACTAGTTTTTGAGGTACAGAGTGTTAACAATCGGAAAAGCCACCTTCTTTTGTAACCAGCACATGGATTCTTATGAGCGAACTCAACACGTTACGTGTTGAATAGAGAGACATTACATAAGAATCGCATTATGTAGAACGAAGATGTCGTCTCGACATGTGCCGTATTGAAAGATGAGAATCCTACTGCTGAATTCCCATAACAAACTTCAATTATTAGGGAACAGAACAAAAACAAAAGTTAAACATAATATTATTTTTTCAAAGACTACTTGAATAATATGATATAGCCTTTCAGTGCATTTTGGTGACCAGATATTATAAACACTTTAAATATGTTTTGAGAGACAACTAGCCACTTTTACCATAGTAAAATATTTGCTGTACTGGGCGAATAAAACAAAAATAGCGAAAGCAATATCCATAATTTTAAACTGACTGAAAATATTTTGTGATACATTTCAATCATGTATTATTTACAAAAGCTGCCTCTATACATTAACTAGATTTTTATTGCGAAAGAAACACTGATGGGAGAGCTGGAAAAAACAATTTTGTCCGCATCCTGCAGCAAAACCAAGCCACCCACATTCAGGTCTTGGACGCACTCTGATGAAATCATCAGAGTAACGTGCGACGATGACCTGAAGTTGAAAATGCTAAAAACCAAGGTACCAACCTTAAAAACATGGGAAGGAGCAACACTCGCTGTTGTAAGGATGGACGAGCTCCCCAAGCTCACCAAAGCCTCTTTCTGGATCCCAGGGAAAGCGTAAGCTGACCTTGACTAGAAGGAGGTTGTGCTCAGGCGACTTGAGGGGTAAAACCCAAACTTGCATGTGGCGAAATGGTGCGCCTCCCACCATGAAATCAAAAAAGACCCCAAGAGCCATCTCTTGCTTTGTTATTTGAGTACTCTTAAGTGTTTTTTCATATGCCTAAAGGGCATAAAATAGCGTATAAAACAGGGGACCAAGTGTCTTGTTTTTCCTCAACGAATTGTAGGCCGAACGAGGGAGGGCTACAAACTTTTTACCTCGGGGAAAAAGTGCTACTTCAGTCCCTTGGTGTACAATATACTATTTTATACTTTTTTTGGCTAAACTATTTGAAAATAATGATGTGTAATGGAATTGAAAGAAGGCGCATTATTAGGAGAATATCTATTTAGAACATGTTCTTCCAAAATATACGCACTTACTGATGTTTAACGTCAATGGTGACGTATGCGAATCATAATTATAATAGCACTCTCCTAGAATAGAGGTCGAAAACATAACATTTTTCGAATTTACCGTTTTATAGACAACAAAAGGCATGCTGATTTTAATTTACTATGTCGATATATTTCAAAAATATTTTCAATTATGTAGATACCTGTATTAAAAATACATTAAAAAAGCTTCCCATCCTTGAAATATGCAACTCAGCGCTCAAACCTTCCCCCATTATCAACTTAAAAAATGTATTATTAAAGAAGGTCAAAAATAAATTATGATCGATTTAATAAATTTTATTGAATAAGTTGATGGAATATCGTTTGATTGATACTAACCTTGGCTATTTGTAACAATACTATCGAGTGCTTAATGTTATCCAACATTATCTGAAATTGAAAAAAAGATCGATTAGTTTATGATTTATTAATTTTCAAAGAATAAAATATTTCTAGGAAAATTAGCGTTTAAAAATTATCCAAGTGAAGTTTAAATCAATTTGTAAATAAAAAAAGTTTAAATGATGAGAATTTACGACACTGGGAAATAATTACATACATATAATACAATGAGTGGTATCAGGATTATCGATAATCGTTAAGGCACGAAACGTGTTGTCAAAAATTATTTTCACGAGTCCGAAGAAGTAACTGTTAAAAAAACTCTTCTACTAAACATGTTAGAATTGTTAGCTTTTACTAATAACGAGGAGACCAAAAAAATATATAAAATTAATTAAATTCTATGATTACGAGTTCGAATTGAAGCCTAAGTAAACCAAAATGAATTCCACAGTGCAAAAAATGTCAACTGTATGGGCATTGGGCATGTTATGTTGGAAATGGGGTGTTAATACACTGCGACCTAAAAGATCTATTGTGTACCCTTCTGTCGCTAATGCACCAATGAAATTTCTCAATGCCTATAACGATCCTTCCAATCCTATCTTCTCAAGGAAGTGTAGGATTTTTGGAGTGGCTTCAAGTTAGGTAAATCTACCTCTTCTATTTGATATGCTCCTACGTATAGTGCCCTTGGATTCTGGAGTGCTACACATTCAGTTAGAATGTGAATGGAGGTTTAGACCTCCTCCTCACAGAATCTACACTCACTATCTTCTACTACTCTCAGTTTACTAAGGTGTCCTTTTAGTCGGCAATGCCCAGTAAGGATAATACGTAGCCTGTTCTTGCTCAGGCAGATGCAGGCTTCCGATCTTTTCTGGTTATATTCACCCAGAAGTATCTTAGCCTGTCTCAGCACCAAGATATTGTTCCAATTATCGGATCTTCTACTGCCCAATTCTTTTTTAATCTCTCCTAATATTATGTTACTGCTGATACCGCAGAATGGTTCAGGTCCCACAAAGGGTGTTTGAGCCGCTTTCCTTGCGAGACTATCTGCAATCTCGTTATCCTGTACCCCGTTATGTCCCGGGACCCAAGTGAGAGTAACTCTATTTTTCTCGCCTAGCTCATTCAATTTGGGCATTGGGCATACATACAGTTTACCTGTAATATACAGCCCAGATGTGTAAAATGCGCAAGTAAACATTTAACTATAGAATGTAAAAACCAGCAGATCAAAATAATCTGTAAATGCGCTATTGTTGACATTAATAACTAGGATGGATACCCTTTTGGAAAGGCTACAGAAACTAAAAAGAAACACACCCACAACTTCTAATAACTTAAATTGCAAACAAGGATATTAGAATAGCTACTTGGAATTCTACAAAAGCCGACCTCCAGATATTTCTGGACACGAATTAAATAAATATAAGGTGTTGGCTTCTGAACGTTTTCCTTTCCAATACGTGATGCTACAGAGTTGGCATTAAAGCGAGCGGAAAAGGAATGGTGTCAACGGTGCCACTTATACGAACCGATCGCGTTGAAACGTTGGCCAAGCCGTATATGCTGGCATTCTTCTTTTCCTGCTTGTCATAGTGCTGGCTCTGTGTAGTTTTCACACGCACTTGTGCCAAGGGATATTGGAAGATGTTCGATGGTCAATATTGTATGCCCCATCTCAGAACCTCATCAATTATTCATCGCGCGATAATTCGGAGCCGACTTTTCATCGTGCGACAAATCACCGCTACAATTCATCGCCACAAAAATATTTTTTATTATAATCAAAAGTTAACTTTTTTTTTTATAATTGAAATTGTATTTTTTTAATTTTTTAATTTTATTCTTTTATTATAATCAAAATATCATTTAAAATACCTAATTTTTTATTTTTTATTATAAACTAAAAAAAAAACAAGTATATTAAAAAAACTATAGTATATTATTATATATTATGGTATAATTACATTTTACAGTGGATTATTACAAAAAATCAAATAATTAAGACTTGCATTCTAAAATTTTTTAGAGTTATTTCATTACCTGCCATAATCTTCTCTATTTTTAATTTAAGGCCACAAAGCACCTATCGTTTAGAGACCCCACGCCAATGTTAGACTTTTAAATCAAAGTAGCGCCCCTTGTGTTTGCACTTGGAACTAATAAACAACACTTCTCATTTTGAGGAAGTAAAAATAAAACTAGAAGTAAAAATAGAACTAGAAGGAAACCAGGTAATGGTAATAAGAATTCACTCCAATTTAGGAAAAATTACAGTACACAAAAATAGATCAAAAATCAAAAGATTAACAAGTAAGGCAACTAGTAGTTGAAAAAAGAAAATTAAGAAAAAAGTTACAACGAATAAGCGCACCAGATGATAAAACAAGACTAAACAGAGCCTCCCAAAACAATGCACAACTAAAAAAGTAGTCCATCGATAAATATTTACAAGAACTAACTGATAATAGTGAAATAAACTATTTCATCTGAAAAATATCTAAAAAACGAAAAAAACCACTGACACACAGCTCACCCTGCAAGTGGAAGCTCGATCAAATTAAATCGACCTCATAACCGGAGAAATTCTTAAGAAGCTACTTAGAATAGTACTGGTTAAACTCGTTTACCTAATAAATTCAGCATTTCTGTTAAAAAATGTATCTGGAAAGTAGCCGAGGTAATAATGCTTACCAATCATGGAAACCCCCTAAGTCATTCGAGAAAGTACTGTTATTTTAAACAAAAAACTAATTTATACGCACCAGATTGGGAACAAGCATTCAACAATTGACTAAATTCACAGCATAAGACATAATTGAAAAAGCCTAGGAGGGAAAGCTGTTCTGTAATATTTTTGGACGTAGCTCATGCATTCAACAGGGCCTGGCATAAAAGACTAACAAACTGGAAGAAAATGTTAACATAATAATATACTGTGATTTTAAAATCTTATATTGCTGGTCGAATATTCTATGTTAAACAGGAGAAAGTATTTTCTACGATAAAAGATATTAACGCAGGATGTACCACAAGGTAGCGTCCTATAGTCTGGAGGAGAAAGGAGTGCAGAAATTTAATTTGCGAAAACATAGTACAGGTTCAAGAGGTAGATATTTTTTATTTATTTATTTTGCCAGAAAAGTCCCGAGATGCTTACGACAAGGAGTTCAAAATGTTTGAGTCTTGGATGAATTTACGCTATAATCACTAGTGAGTTATGGATTATAACACACTAGTGTGTTATTTTATAGTTTACTTTTTTAAAATGACATCAATAATGACAGTCATAACTGTCATGTGTTGGATAAAAATATTAAAAATTCATTGACTACTGGGGCGAAAATCAAAACTTTTTGTGTAAAATAAGTTATTATTGTATTAATAGGTTTTAACACCATTCTGACTCTATGGAATTCAGCTCTGGGATGTGCAGCAAAGTGGATTATAGATAAAATTCAAATCTTTCAGAAATGCTTCGTAGTGTTGTAGACGCACCTTAGTTATTAGAGGTGATAATCTTAACAGAGATTTGAAGATACCGAACGTCAAAAAAGAGATCAAGAAATTTCCAAGGAAACACGAAGGAAGACTCCATGTCCATGGCAGTTCCGAGGTACTAGAGATCCTAGAAAATCCGGTCTAAAAAGAAAACTCAAAGGGATTAAACCTTTTAAGCTTGTGTAGTTATCGTATAGTGCAGAGTGTTAGAGCAGAGCATACTGAAACACCTTAAAATTAGTTAAGTACCCTAGTTTTAAAAAATTAAAATAAAATTGTAGGTTAGACGTCGCCGCTAGCAACAATAAATTTATAAAAAAGAACTACGAAGGACGAGTGAAATTCGTTTGATTATTTAACACAATAATACATCAACCAACGACAATACGCTTTTATTTCAAGACACGCCAATCTATAAAAACCGTATCTGAAAACACTAAATGGTACAGTGTTTTCACCAAATCCCGCGAAACGCCAATGTGAAGTTTGCAAAAAAGGGTGACGAAAAATGGACAGAAATCGTGTTGATTGTTCAAATAGACATTCTACAGCTGTAGGACATATAAAGACCGTTTTAGAATTAAAAGTTGTCCATGGTTTAACATTCATTTGTATAACCTAATTAAGCACAGAGATACGTGTTATAAAAGACATAAGTTTTTTTCCAATAGTGCTCTGCTTCACAGTGAATGCAAGAACAGTCAAACTATCTTGAAAGCAGCTATATCTAATGCAAAAAACAATATTATCACAATCAGCTAACAAGTGCCCTAGGTAATCCAAGAAAAATATGGTCAGTGTTAAACTTGTTAATTCATAATAAAATATCAAAGCAACAAAACACAGTGAATACTCTGCAAGTAGAAGATGACTATAGAAGTTCCTAAGAAAATTGCAGATATTCTTAACACTCATTTTAAAGAAATAGGTAAAGCAGAAAATATACCGGAGTTTACTTACACGAAACCTACAGTTATAAACCGTCAACAACTATATCAATGGGAGTTAACTACCCCTCAAGAAATCAACAAAGTAATTTCAGAGTTTAAATAGAGAAAAGCCTGGGGTGCTGATGGTATCTCTGGGGACTTGATCAAACATTTCAAAAACGAGATGTCGGTTATCTTAAGTAACCTAATAAACTTAACTTTCACTCATGCTTCAATTTCCAATGGACTAAAAGTTGCTAAACTTTTACCATTATTTAAAGGAGAGCTAAGAACTTCCACCAAAGCTACCGATCGATATCTCTATTAAGTTCTATCTCCAAAGTCCTGGAAAAATGTATTAATCAGCTTGTTTCCTATATTGAAAAAATAATTTTTGGTACAAGGGACAGTATGGTTTTCGTAATGGAAGTAACACAACGTCGGCAGTCACAGATATGATTACCAACATCAGACATCATGTGGATGAAGGCAATGCATGTATCATTGTATCACTTGATTTAAAGAAGGCGTTTGATACTGTTAATCACAGTACTGTTATCTATTTTGGAAGACTATGGAATAACAGGAAATGCATTGTCTTTCTTCAGAGATTATTTCAATGGTCGTACACAGTTTGTAAGTAATGGAAATACCTCAAGTAAAATGGCTGATCTACAATATGGGGTAGCCCAGGGGTCAATTCTTGGACCAACGTCATTCCTGATCTATATAAACTCCATAGCTCAGCTACCATTAGCTGGTTATTTGCAACTTTATGCTGACGACGCTTGTCTCATCTATTTTGAAATAAAGTATATTATAGAGCAAGATCTAATTCAAATTCTTGAGTGGTTAAAGTTTCATAAATTAACTCTAAATACTGAAAAGTCAAGTTTTTTAGTGATACCAAAAAAGCCTGAATGGAACCAATTCCAAATAAATATAGACAATGAACAGTTGACTAGGACAGAATGCATTAAATATCTTGGCTTATACATAGATTCCAAACTCAACTGGGAACATCATATTGCTCAATTGTGTAAAAAAATTAGTCCTGCCATTGGAGTATTGCCTGCTACCTTTCAGCTGACTTAAAGAAGACTGTATCATTCACTAATTCATTCACATCTATCATATTTAAATCTTATTTGGAGCAAAACTTCCCAAAATAGACTAAAACCCTTGCAAATTCTACAGAATAGAGCATTCAGAAGAGCTTTTTAACTTCCTTTTTGTCATCCTACTGAACTTTTGTATCGTCCAAATAATATTCTAGACATTCAGTAGCTTTCTAGATATCAGACATGAATTTTTATTCATAACCTATCTCTGAATATATACACTCATCCATACAACTGACTACTTCCTATGATATCCATAGATATAATACTCGGAATAATCGCTGCTTCAGAACCACAGCCGTAAGAACATGCTTTGGTGACCGAAGCATATTATCTGATGGTCTAAGACAATCCAATGAGCACCATAAAGAACATAAGGACTGACCTCTTTAAAAAAAAAAACTAAAAACTCAATAGAATTTTTTTAGTTGATATCTTCATGTTTAAATAGGGTTTAATTACTTAATAGTGTGATATTAAATTACTGTATTTTTTTTTAAATTATTATTAGTTATTTTGTAGTAGTACTGTTATTATAACTAAGCAGGTACCGAATTCTTCTGTGATATGATATTATAAAATTTGTACCTTGTAAGACCCACATAGTCTTAAGCTCTGGGTCTAAATATACCAAATTGTATTCTTTTTTTATTAATAAACTTGATGGAACCTTAAATAAAGAATCGACATCACTTTCGACTTCATCTTACGGAAACAAAACAAATGCTATTTGTAAAAAGTCTGGTTATATTGTTAAATAATCTTTCCAAATACCACGCGAGTGGAGAATTTTTGTTTTGAGAAAATTTTGTTGGTTTCTTACAAATATGAAAATTTCCAAGGAAACAACAAAAAGTTTTCAAAAATGTTCACCTCGTGTGGTATTATCCTTGACAATACGCTGAGTGCATTAATTTATGTGATTAACTATAGAAGCGATAATATCGCGAATCAATAAAATGTGACAGATTAATAATTTACAGTAAAAAAGCAATGACAAAACATGACAAATTTCCCTATTAGATTTTACAGCATTAATGTACTAAGCATGAATATTAGTTATGGACGGTGTATGATTATCGATTAATTAACTAAAAGTAAAGGAAAATATTACATTGCGAGTGATATTATCGTCATAATCATCATCAAAATAAAAAAAGTACAGAAAAAAGATGTACTATTAGCATAAACAACAGTGAAATACGTTAGAAAAATTTTTGTTCAATAAAAATAAATAATAGATCCATATAACACAAAACTTACATTTGCGTGGTCTAATATCAACTGACATTTTACTGCTTCATCAGGATCTGTTATCGTAATTATCCTGTCTTCTAATTTCTGAAACAAAGAAAAAATATAACAGGTTTCATATTATTTAGTAATAGTAATGTTTAGTTAGGGAATAAATTGCGCATTATTTTATACATGCTGGTGATATGTGCTAGAAGCACTCTGTATAATAGCTTCAAAGCAAATTGTTAACACTTATCCAAATTTAAAACACATTGAAAATGAGTGGAAAATGGTATCGAATTTTATTAAAACCATTGTGCTCATGACAGCCAAAAATGTATTTAAAAGTTTAAACAATAATGTGTATTCCATTAATAAAAAAAAAAAATAAAATTAAAAGCTCTAGCTGCAATAATGTTAGAGTAAAATAGTATAAATGTCAATTTATGACAAAATAAAGATTTGTTTTTATAGATTTTGAATGGTATACTAAATGCTGTGTATTTTATTAAACACCAAGTCCCAAAGCAAATAATTGATTAAACCCGGCCCTGTATATCTATATAAACCAATAATCATTATATTAATCAATTCTCTATTTGTTATAATAATGAATGTCTTCCCAATTTGGAGAATATTGTGTGTATTTTCGAACCAAATAAGAGCTAGGTAGATGGGGTTTGCGGCGTTTCATTTCTCTCTAAGAAATGATGGGCGCTTTCTCAAATTCTTCAGGTTCCGGATAATGTATCATTTCCGTTCCCATTTAGGGTTCCGGCAATGGCATAGTATATGAATAGGAGTTTAACCTTCTCTTCACATGTTCTACATATGGAGTCATCAGATATCTCTAAGATATTAAGGTGTCTTCTAAGGCCACAGAGTCCTATTATGGCCTTTAGTTCACTTCTGTTAAGGTTTAGAAATTGATTTTATCTGCTCTTGGATGAACCCTCTATAAATATTTTGGACTGTCAAAGATCAGGAAGTTTCAACCAGACCATATGGTGTTCTCTATTTATCTGTTCCGCTAGCACCCATATATTATGTTTATATGAAATACCACATTTGGGTTCTAGTCCAATTAGAGTTTTCTCAACTCCCTTCCTTGACTAGGAGGACTACTTTTTCGTTTTCCCGTTTTCTATAAAGCTCTTTCGTTCCTTGCAGGTTCCTTTTTCTTGCGAATGCGAAAACAGGGATTTTCGTCGGGTTTGTGGACAATCCCTCCTTTAGGTACGATATTTAGTGCCTGCTGAATCCTTTCGGAAAAACAGCCCCATATTTACCGTTTACGATGCTTATGTCGTCTGCAAATGCTTGTGTGTATGTTTTCTCTAACTCCCATAAAAGGTTATCAACCATCAATTACCACATGAATGGAGATAAGAATCCTCCCTGCGAGCATCCTTTAACTGAGACCTCTTTTGTTGTGTAAAAGAGATTACTGGTAATGGTTCTATTGAGCATGAAGTCAACCCACTGTGTAATGCTCCTTCTATGTCTAGGAAAACTCCTAATGCTTTTTCTTTGCTTTCCAATGCTTGTTCTGCTTTGTGAGCTAGCCTATGTATGGCTGAATCGCAAAACTTTCCAGGTTGGTGGGCAAAACTGGTAAGAAGCTTTCCCAGGTTTGAGAATAAAAATAATCCTTGCAGACCTCCACCATTGTGGAAAATATCCGAGGGCTATGCTAGCTCGGAATAGTTTACACAGTGGTACCTCCAGTACTGCCTGGTCCTTTTGTAGAAGTGCTGGGATTATCCCATCAGCCCCAGATGTCTTGTATTGTTGAAAGGAATTTATCGTTCATACAAGTTTTGTGTTTGTGTTTGCAAGAAACCAGTTTGTTTTTGAGGCCCTAGGAACTAGTGCCTCGATACTCCTGTTCTTTTGGTCAAGGATAATCTCACATCCAGGGAAGTCTGGAACATTCTGGAAAGCTTTTAACCCTTTGAGCCACAATGGTTACACCTATTTTATTCGATTTTAAATCAATTTGATATTTATATATCCAATTTAGATTTAATATTTACTTTACCGGTAGTTCTCTACCAATAGATAGTAATAGTTTTGGTGTTTCTTATTCGGCTTCCTAACTAACGGTTCATTTATAAACCTGTCGACGAAGAAATACGTTTATTGATTAAAATAAATATTCTGTGCGCTTGGTATTCTTTGAAGTGATTCATAAAGGCATTTATATGCCTACTGTATTAGTACATTCAAATATTTTTCTTAATTTTCACTTAAAAATTATTATTGGTGGTTTCACTATGAAACTACTATGACAGTAGTAGCTGGTATGTTATATGCTGTATTTTTTGTCAACTTATGAAAAGCAGTTGAAAATATTAGAAGAATTATTCCCTCTGGAATGGAATCTGAAGATAGTAAAACCTTGAAGATGTAAGGGGACATTTAGGGAACTAATTTGGTTGGCGAGAATAATTATGTCCAGGTAATGGTAATCCAAATATTCCACCGAATACAGACGATCATGACCATAAAAACTACATAGAAAATGGAGAGGTATTTACTGCCGGCACTGAAGATGATAATTTACCTGTAGCTGTTTAAATACTTTTCAATTCACTCACTCATTCACCGTTATTCATTTTACGTCGTCGATAGTTAAACGATAGTCCCAAGTTCACCCACCCATGACGTGACCGGAGGCCTCACAGCTCAACTGCTGAAAGAACGTGGCTACACAATAATCTCATGGATAGCATCTTCCGTTGTTAACGCATTTATAATTTTCTTCTATAACTGTGCTAAATTAGGCGGAAATCCAAAGACTCTAAAACAATTCAGGTTAGGAAGAAAAGTCCACTTTTCAAAAAGTTGTTTTTTCTTAATGAAAATAAAAATTGCTTTCTTCCGTTTAAAGATATACATAGGATGTTGGCCTAGTACCTTTTTGGTAACATTATATGCTTATATTAAAGCTTTGAAGCTTTTTACAGTGATTTTTCTTAATTCGTGACACAAAGGGGCTTTTAATGCCGTCCCAGAATTTCTTCTAGGAATTTTCTTTGGTTTTCCTTATGACATAACCATATTCTCTCCTGTATGCCTTGTAGGCTTCCCAGTTCCCCGACTTTTTGACCAGATTAAAGAGTTTACGAACTTCTGTTCTATTTTTGGAAAGGTCTAGAATCCGCCATACAACATCTCGATCCTCTTTCCTTATTTTTATAGAGCAGTTTTTTAAATGTGTTGGTTAAGGTTTGTGTCGGAAACTATGACATAAACTCAATTTCCACTAAATTTTTCGGAGTCGGAGGACAGTTGAGTTCCTCCTTGAAGGCCCCCCAATTACAGGTCCTAGGATTACGATATGTCTCTTCACCCGAAGTTTCTGTACACAGATTAAACAGGATATGCCTATGGCCGGAAAGTGAAACTGAACACGCCCGTTGTGTACAAAGGGTTAGGTACATCAATGACCTGCCTTCGCACAGACGTTACGAAAGTGGGTTCATTTCCAACTCTAAGAACTCTATAAAATGGAATATATAAATAACCCGATAGTTCAAAGTTTCGAAAAAAAATTTAATTTTTAGAGTGAAAAAGATTTGTTGCTCATTATATACGAATACAATATTAGTACGCATCCGTATAAGATTCGTATGCATATAAAGCACGCATAAACTGTTCGTAAGAGCAGAGAATAGAACTTTAGATCGGATTTAGGGAAATTTTAACAAAAAAATAAAGATTTTTGTTAAATATTTCGGCAACCGTTTGAGTTAAGAGTAAATGCCGAGCCTATTATTTACTCAAGAAAATCTGTATTATCTTTATTTATATATTATATATTTAAAAAAATTATAGTGATTACAATTTGATTTTTTAACAACATAAATATTTTTCAGATTTAATTCAACGCGGCATTTTTCGAATTGGTAAAAATATTGTTTCTGCCACTCCTTACGAAAAGACATGTTACGGATACCTGATACTTCTAGCGAAAACTTTATTTCCGTCACTATAGTCTATTTTTATGTATGAGAGAGTATTAAAATAATAAAGTGTTCGTAATCCATAGGCGTATCACTTCTTTTAGTAGACAGTTAAAATATTTTTTGAAGTTATTCCTCGAATATACACTTATATTTTCACCTAATTAACCAGCTTATAACTTCTAAACAGTTGAAGGTAAAAAAGTGCAATTTTTTCTAAAATGTGTTATTTTCCACAAGGTATGTTAAGAACATTGTGTCAAACGGGTTATGTAGGTATAAGGGTTTACACTTTGACTTTTAAACAACGTTACGTTCATAAATAATAATTTTAATATAAAAACTACTTCTTACCTACAAATCCAAATCAGAATCGAAATCAGAACATGAACTGTCGCAACCAATATTTACAATGAGTGGCTCGATCATTTCATCAGTAATATTGTCCAACTTCCACATTTTCTCTTCTTCTTTAATCGTATGATTTACTGCCTTTTCCCAGTTTTCAGGCTTCACATTATTTACAGCCTCCAAAAACAACTGTTTAACATCACTCGTTTTAAAAGAATTATTTTTTCTTGAAACTTCTCCCTTTATCTGTGCCCATATCAGTTCAATCGGGTTTACTTCGCAATGATATGGTGGTGATTTAACCACCGTCATCCCACGATTTTTTGCAATTTCATCAATTTCATATTTTTTGAATTTCTCTTTATGAAGGGAACACAAATGATACAGTTCTTTTCTCACAGAACCGGGATGGAACTTAATATTCTTTGAATTTAGCCAATTCTGTAAATCTTTTTTTAACCACTTGGTTGTGGGCATTTTTTCTATAAGTCTCGAGTGATAACTTGCATTATCCATTACTATTATACAGTTCTGAGGAAGAAGATCTATAATTTGTTCGAACCACTCTTTAAAGACATCAGCATTCATGTCCTCATGGTAGTCACCGGTACGAGTAGATTCAAAAGTCAATAAACCACCTTTAAGAAAACCGTTTGAACTACCGATGTGTACTATTATTAGTCTGCGCCCCTTTCCTGATGGTGGATTTAAACAGGTAGATAAATTATTTAAAAAGGCCTGTCTTCGACTTGTAACAGTTTCATCTTGCCAAAATTTATTTGGTTT